AGTCACTCGGAGTAAGACAAACATGAAACAATGAACACGCTCCTTCCTACTGGCAAAAGAGCAGGAACAAGGAGAAGAACAAAATCTCGAGTTCTGCACGGGTTTTTGTGATTGGCTGAGGGGCTTTGGTCTGTGAGCTGACCTGGTCTTCATATCCTTTTGGAAAGGCTCAAATGTCCAAGAGTCTGTTGGTTTAGGGACAGCTCCACAATGAAATGCCTGGCAGATGAAAGGGCAGCAGAGCCTTCGCTGACCTCTTTCTTGGGACAAGCATTGTCGAAAAAAGGACATATGGCAAAACACATCTTTTTGTGTTTGTGCTGTATTACACAGACAGGGCAATCCATTACCTTTTATCCCAGAAGTGTTTCAACTACAGGAAGCGCTGCTTAATTTCACTAGACTCCATGACAGATCTAAAGTCATCGAGTACACTTCTTACATTCTTACGACTCTGCACTGATGGCTGATCATGATCATGATTTTTACTTACTTGTGGAATGACTTTGTTGCTTCTGCAACTTGCTTTACATTAATCATTCATTTCACCAATAAAAAATAGAAATGCTAGCAAAAAGAGTAACCTGGGTTGTGTATTAACATGCTTCTGGAGGAGTGTACTTCCCCTTCTCCACTGCAAAAAAAAAAATTCCTTTCATTAATGAAGTATTTTGAAAACTGTGCCACTGCTAACAACATTAATGCTGCAAATTGGCTGTTACAAAACAACTGTACTGACTCACTGGACATCTTTGTAGCTACTAAGTTACAGGCTACCTATGATGCTCCAAATGTGATTCAGGGAGATGGTGCACAAATGCTGAGGTAGCTCACATATGGTGAGCTGGAGCATACCTCTAGACAATTTGATTGTCGAGGAAAAAGATTCAAGGCATACCCAAAAGTGAGAAGTGACAGGTAAAATATATTGGATAATCCTTTGACTTCTGAGCTGTAACGTATACAACAATGGACCATGGCCATGAGTGTTAAAGCTTGTTTGAACAGAAACAAAGCAGTCTTAAGCGGGACAGGCAGAAGGGGCAGCAGCCACAGGAATAGCCTGCAGTTTTGGGAGCCCTCCCAGTTGTGTGATTGAAGGTAGTCACCATGTACAGACACACTCATCCATTTGACCTGTCTTTCCACCATTTTCAGGTAAATGGGCCTCACAACAGTGGTGACCTATTTATGTACTGCTCCTGTGAGAGAACAGCTCGTTCTCTTTACCATTTGCAGTTTGCAGTGATGGGCCACAAATGTGAGGTAAGGCCTAATGACCCTTCCTCAAAAGCACTATCGCTGCATAGTAACGGCTGTAGCAGGCTGGCCTGGGCTACAAGCTGTGCCATGCAAAGTACTAGTGGTATGCAAGTGCACTAGTCCAGACGGAGCTCTTCGCGGCTATTATGGCACTAGCATCTTCAGCTGAATGGCACTGATGAGGACTGCATTAGGGAGAAAGGTGTGGGTGATTCAGAGGCTTTCCACTTGCGTAGACAACTAAAAGGGTTAAGGAGTCTACCTCTTCCCTCCAGAAGCATAATTTGTTCTAGACAATTTCAGAGGCATTTTGTGTATTGACTTTGGATTTCTGTTTTAAAATCACATGGCATTTAGAGAGGTCAAAGTAGTTTCTTTTATTGTCTGTTCATTCTTTTATTTCAAAGAAATTGTGCAACTGCTTTATGCTTTCTATTGTATATTATGACTGTCCTGCAGACCATGAATGTTTCTTCAGCTGGTTTGTTCACCTGATGTGCCATGAAGTTACTTGTGGAAGATCTGTAAGAATGGCCTCTGTGTGTGTACAAAAGGCTCATTTTGAACGTAGCATCTGGTGCTGTGACCTGTGGAGAAGGAAAAGAACAACTCACCTTACACCACCCTTCAAAATTTCAGCAGCGAGTTCAAACCCTTTTCTGGTAACATCTGACTGGGGTCTAAATATCCTGATGTCTGAATCTACAAAGCAACAGAAACCTTGTTTTTCTTCTCTGCTCAACCCCTCACTCCCCAATACACCTTTCTTCAGCTCTGTAATTCTCTACACAGATGCTCTGAACATTGCTTTTGAAATTAATTTGTATTCCCACAATATACTCACTGAAGGTTTTGTTCTACTGATGTGCTGTGCAGACTGTGACTATGTCCGAGTTCCCTGAGGTAGACTGCTTTAGGATGAAAAACAGTGCTCTGTGAAACACTATGTCTGTGGTCTTCCACAATGCAGGCTGTAACTGGCACTGGACAATTACATGTAAGTTTTTGCAGAATAATCTACTTCAATATTACTATATTTGGCAACTAAAATGTGAAGGATGTGCCCTTTCTCAAGTTCCTCGGTAACAGAAGTTTCTCCATTCCTCAGCAAGAGCTATAGATTCTGGTGGGAAGAAAGACTAGTGATACTGGTAGTCCAGCCAAAAATGGGAGAGAGAAAAGTTGCAATAAGTATAGTGTGGGCATACCATACCATAGCAAGCACGCCTGCATATGCTGATCTTACCAAATTTTTCGACTTCACAGAATGGTGACTTTGAGAGGGATCTGGCCTGTCAGTACTCATTACAGAGGAATAATAAGGAAATAACTCAAAATTTCTTAGAGACATTCTGCAAGACTGAATTTCTCACCTTTTTGGTTTTATTTGCATGAGCTATGCCACATTATTTGCTGCCATAACCAAATCATAATTACTATTCAAATTCCAATGAATAGCTTTTGTCATTATTTTTACTTCAGCCATTGCAATATGCTCTTTCCTTTTCTGCAAGGGTTCACACGCTGTGATGAATGCATCTTCCATTCTGGAGATTTTAGGGTAAATCCTTTGTTTCAGGCATTTTTTTTGAAAGAAAGAATGGACTTATTCCAAGTAAAAGTGATGTCTGACATTGAGCTCCATCCATCACTTTACCTGGTAAACACAGAACAGGGAGTGTGGGGCGTGTCACAAAATTACACAAGATATATTTTGAAGAGTTCCACAAGTCTGCCCCAAGTACAGCTGAGAAGCTGTACTATTACCTTTGCAGGTGAGGCTGATAAGGTAAGCATTTCTTTCAATTATGCTTTAAGTTCTAATCTGCAATTAAAAAAAAGATGTTACAAAACTTAGAAAAAGGTTGATGTAACCCCACATTTATGACCTTCAATATCTGTTGAAGAAACAAATCATTAAGGGATGCCTTTTGCAGAAACCTCATCTCACCTTCACTTGTGTGCTCTGTGTTATTTTACTGTTTCACATTCTGCGATGCATAAAGTCAAAACGTGTTTGTGTGAACTAAAGCTTTGCTTACTAACTCTTACACATTTAAAAGCTGGTGATATTTTATGACAGCCTTTCTTACTTCTTCCTCTATCCCTTTAATTTTTCATTCATAATTAAAAGACAAAATGGAATTTGTCTAAATTCCAGAGGATGCAACTAAAGCTCAGTTGCGGGGTTTATGGAAAATATTCTCTGAATGAAATTGAGGAATGCAGCATATTCAGGTGACCCCAGCATACTGCAGCTCTGTGTTATCTTTAATAGTTACGTTTTCTGAGATGAAAAAAAAAAAAAGCATTTGCTTCATGAATATGTTTCTTCACCAAGATGATAAATGGAGCGTAAAGCCTAAAATATAACAGTTAACAGTAAATAATCAAAAAATCTACCTTATATAATCTATATAAGTGATTCAATTTAGAGAGAGATTGAGTATCCATTGTAGCAGAGAAACAGCTAGATGCACCGTTGTTCAAATTATCCCACACTAAGAGATGAACGTCACATGAATGATTCCATAGGGACTGCTAATACATATGGCAGAGTATCCTGGATTTTGTTCTCTGGCAGCCACAGAGGGAAACAAATTAAAGTTTGCATTGCTTGAAGATCCCCAAGAGCTTGGGGCAATTCCACCCTAGCAAGGTTCTTTCTGCTTGTGTCAACATGTGGGAAGTTAGAAGTGGTACAAATACTACACTGCTGCATTAGACTTTACAGTACTGTATTTTCTACTCTGTGCTGTCTTCTTTACTAAAAAAATCCTTCCCTTCAGTGTTAGATGAAATGCTAGGTGCTGAAACTACAGGGAAAATTTTACAACACTGTCAGAAAAAGGGCAGAAAAAATATTTTAAATATTGAAGCTGTGAAGATCTCTGCAAATTAAACACAAGACTAAACAAGCACTGCCTTATTAAAAAGTGGATTTTATGGAAAATGTGGTAATAAAATTAGAGAACACTTATTTAAAACAGTGAGATATAATTGAGTCAATGATGAATGGAATGTGCTATTTATAGATGTTTGTCATGAACTGGATGAATTTGGTAAATCATTTGCGGCCTCTATTGTTGTGCCTCCATGATCCTATTTAAAAAAATGAAGGTAATGTTGCTAACATTTGAGATCTCTGATAAAGTAGGTGGTGTAAGAACATAATTTCCATTTACAGTAGGCTGAAATTAGAGTAAATCTAGCAAAACTTATACTGTTGCTTCAGACTTGCACATTTTATACTGGAATTAACTGTTATTTGGATCATATAAGGCTGATCTGTTAACTGATCTTGAAAGTGATGTTAAAAACTATAGCAAAGAACCTGGTTTGGAGTCTCAAAAAATGAAGATTCTGAGAACAAATCTATGTGTGGTTTTTTTCCTTAAGAGATTAGAAAAGACTGTTAGTGACCTTCTTTAAAGGTAACTAATATTCTTTAAACATTTTCAACAATATGGTATACATTTATGGGGAAGGAGAACTCAAGTTTCAAATAAAAAAATCACCAGCCTATGTGTAACTGGTAGCTATCCAGCATTTTGATTGCTTATGAATCCAAAAGCACGTCTGCCTTTTAAATCCACACCACTGGATTCTGTTTGCTGAAAAAAACCCTGTGCACCAAGTTCAGGGGTTCAACCGCATTGATTTTCTTGCATTACAATTAATATATTTCACCGTAAGTCACACTTTTTCTGTTTGCTTTAGATAACACTGATTTCACAATGGGCTCCATCACTGCAGCAAACGCAGAATTTTGTTTTGATGTATTCAAAGAGCTGAAAGTCCACCATGCCAACGACAATATCCTTTATTCACCCCTGAGTATCATTTCAGCCCTGGCCATGGTTTATCTGGGAGCAAGAGGTAACACTCAATCTCAGATGGAGAAGGTAAGTTACTTCCATGGGTATAAAGTGACCTCTACTTGTGCTTGTTGCTCCTCCTAAGTAATATCACTGAAATATATTATCCACTGACAAAGTTCTCACCTATTTTAATGCACAAGGAATAACACAAAGTCGCAAAATAAAGAACTGGATCAAGAGTTATTTAAAGAAAATACTAGAAAAAGATGTCTATTTTCACTAGAAGGGGCAGTTAGTTTTGACTTAGAAAGAAATCCTTATGGACAATAACAAAATGGATTACCAGTCAGCAAATTTTATTATACGATTTTTTTTCTAAGTTCTGACATCTTCCAGATAATGTGATCAGATTTTTTTTTAATGTATAAAAAAGATAAATCCCAGGAAGAGAGGAAGACAGAATATTACTAGCAGTACATAATATGTAACTCAGTTAATTTCTAGACATTCACTAGAAAAAATAACATCTAAGCAAAGAGTGGTATTTACAGTTTCCAAGAAGGCCACAGAGGGCATAAACCAGTTGCAAGCCCACCTGTAAATTTTTAGTTCACTCATGTTCTCAGTTAGCACTTTTTTTTTTCTGAGCGAACAGCTTTACTTCAAGCATCATGTGTATATCTCAAATTCGCATCATGCTTGTCACTTCTACCACTGGCATTTTCTCTTGCAGGTTCTTCACTTTGATAACATTACAGGAGTTGGGGACACTGCTGACTCTCAGGTAGAGAAATAACTTGATGTCCCTTTCTGTCTTATTTTCTCCTCAGAACAAAACTAGAACTGTTCTGCCTCTCCTCCTGGTGGTTTCAGACTCTGTCAAAAACTACGGTAACTCTCTCAAACCAAGGAGACCAGTGGAGGGAGGGAAGGAGGTGGCAACTCGCCCGTTTGTTAAAAACCAGGGAAAGAAGGCAGGTTGCACATCTTGCACCAGAACAAGTGACAGGGCAGAACGCTTTGGCACCAGGGTGCCTTCCTGGAGGCAGCACGTGCAAGGGGCTCAGCACCTAGAGCCAGGGTACAGCAGTCAGACTTGCAGCTGAGAGACTCCACAGCAGGGCAGGTAGATGCTGGGCAGAGAAGAGTGCAGAAGTCTCAGTGACAGGAACACAAGTGCACTCTTAAAAAAAACACGTTTCAGGGGACTTATCTTGAGAAGGATGGACTTGTCAGTTCAATGCACCATCACCACAGCACCTGCTGTCCCAAAGGTGACAGACTTATGTCTGTGGGGGAGGAGTCCACTACAGCATGACTCTTACTGATAGGGACAATCCTTTAGGGTCTTATTTCCCAGATAAGAAGAAGCTAATGCAATGTATCTTCTTATTTTCATGTCATCACCTCAGTGTGGCACTTCTGAAGACATCCACAGCTCATTCAAGGATCTTCTCTCAGACATCACCATGCCAAATGCTACATATTCACTCAAGATTGCTGACAGACTCTATATTGAAAAAACATACCCCGTTCTTCCGGTGAGTGGTACTGTGAGCTGACTTCAGCGAGATTCCCCCTAAAGGCCCCTGTGACTCTACCCTAGAGAAGCATCACCAGCAATAGCCCATTGTCTGTTGATGAAGAGGTGGTTGTGAGCCATGAGGGGAACTCGTTGAGCACGAGTTTGAACCTTCCTGTGGCTGTTAGGTGGAGGCCAGGCAAAAGTATAACGGCATAAAATATGTCTAACTTGCAACATGCACAGGGAGCAATCAAGATTGCAGTTCATTTGCTAGAAAATGGCTTTTAATGAAAACTGTAACTTTAAAGGGAAATTATATACATTTTATGACTTGAAAGCATGAAGACTGAAATTGTCAAGTTTGGATTTTTTCAAAGCCAAATATCAAATCTTCCCAGTGAAAGAAAGGAAGGTTTTTTTCTGAAATGTAAGAATGTAAGAACACAGTGTTCAAAGTAAAAAGTGGGCACAGAGAGAAGGAAACAAACACGTTTGTTAAAATGAAAGTGTTTTGGTAAAATGAAGAAAATATTTCAAAATCTTAACTTAGAATCTATCTATCTGAAAAAGAAATGCCAAACCTAAATATGTGAAGTAGTTTTTCTTGTTCAGCTTTAAGATTCAGTTACAGGAAGACAGCTGTGACCGACATGTCCAAACACAGGGGGAAAAGTTTACCGTTCTTTTAACCATTCCGCTTCATTTCACAATTTTGCATTTCACATTCATATATTTTCAAGTCCTCACCAGTATGACAACTGCAATCCTTCTGCTTACAGGAATACTTAAAATGTGCAAAGAAATTCTACAGAGCAGAGCTGGAAGAAGTTAACTTCAAAACAGCTACAGAGGAAGCAAGACAGCTCATTAATTCCTGGGTGGAGAAAGAGACAAGTGGTAAGGACTGAAAAATGGGTAGCAGGTTATTTTCCCCTACCTACCATAATCTATACCCTTGTCTTCCTCTCCTCATAAAGTCTAGAAAAAGTGGGTCAAGCAAGAGCAGGCTGCTTGTTGCTATCAAAACTCCAGAAAGTGGCAGCCCCCACCATCATGCCCTTCACTGCAGGCAGTTGTGCACAACAGAGGAGGTGTATCTTAACTACTCTCTGCCTTGCTTCTTCCTTAAAGGACACATCCAAGATTTCTTTGAACCAAGCTCTGTTGATCTCGATACTGCGCTGGTCCT